TAAAAAAGAATTAAAATATTCACACACTTGATGAAAAAGTTGTTAGTACTTTAAACTGAAATATGAGAAATTTTATTAATTATGGAGTAGAACTATTATTTTAGCCATTAAATACATATAATAAATTACTGTCGAATTTAGTATTGGAATTACGCAGTATGAATCAACAAATAAATAAAAAATAACATAACAGAAGAATCAACAAATAAATAGAAAAAATGATATAATAGAAGTATGTGTGTAAAAGCATAATAAAATACACATGCATACACACACACATATATGTAACAATGAGTTAGTCAATTACAAGGTTACAATTTGTGGTTAGAATTAAAATTAAGTTTTGATATGAATTTGTAAATGTGTAAATAACTTTTCGTACAGTATGTTTTATTTAAATGTTTATATGCTATTATTTCTTTAATTGTTGAAAATTGGATGTAATAGTTATTTGATTAAATCTTACCTTGAAATGAAGCCAAAAATATATGTTTTATTTTAAATTATAAAAATTCAACACAAGCACAAATCTAATAACTATTGATTTAAATTTTTACTTGAAAACTTCTGGATGATTTCTCTGGCTAACACATTCTTCTTTACAAACGAGATGTGCTTCCTTCCGCCATTATTCCCGCTTTAAAATCGATCTTGAGAAATATCGATTAAGTATCGACAATCGTAGGATATGTATTCTGTATTTCACCGTTGGAGCGCTATAATCTCTAAGAAATGATAACTAAAAAACTCTGGTCTAAATCAAAATTCATGAAAAATTGTTTTTGAAATTGTAAAAATTATTAATAATTTTGTTTTTCACAAAATTGTAACAAGTGTCGATAATTTTTCATCTAGTGTATGAATATTTTCGTTGTTTTTTAGGAATTTCTCATACCTCATCCGTGATGAGACAAGAAAATACATTGTATGCTAGATTTATTCATATATATATCTTGTTTGTGGCTGAAATAAAAAAATTCTTTATCGATCAGTTCTCAATTGATAACATAGGAAATATTTGCTAGGGAATTTTCTTTTCTAAAAGTTTAAATTCTCATTATGATTATACTGTGTGTTATGTAATTGTGTTGTACTGTTTATACTTCTAAAAGAAACACGAGTTTCCCGCCAAATCGAAATAACGTATGTTTCTTGTAATTGTAAAAAATGGATACGTCTGAAGAAACACCGCAAAGTGAATATATATTACGACCAATGAATTGTGAGTTAAATCAACTTTCTATGCCTGATGGATCAGCTATGCTCATGCAAGGTAGGTTATGTTTGTGTCAATGTTATTATTTATTAATATTATTTTACCAATAACGTTTTATATATTTCAGGAAGTACGGCAGTAATTGCCGGAATTTATGGACCAGTAGAAGCAAAACCACAAAAAATGATTTATGATAAAGCATCAGTTGAAGTATCGTACAGTCCTATCAAAGGTCCAACGAGTAAGTCAAACTAAATCTTTTAAATTAAAAATAGTTCAGTTATTTAATAATATAATGATTCATGTATTAATTTTTCAAGAGGTGGATGACAGAATGACAGAAATGTATGTCAAAGAAACCTGTGAGGCTGCAATAATTGTCACTTTTCATCCAGCAACTGCTATATGCATTAATGTACAGGAATTAGAAGATTCTGGTGGAGTATGGTTTCTTTTATATCCGCAGCTTAATATTATTTATGTTTTAAATTAATAAATAATCTATTTCGCAGATGTTGGGTTGTACAATAAATGCAGCTTGTTTGGCGCTTATTAATGCTGGCATTCCAATGAAATTTACTATTGCAGCAATAAATTGTATGATACAGGAAGGCAGTGAAGATATCATACTAGATCCTGACAATACTCAATTACAGGTGAATATTAAATGAATATTTATATGCTTCAAGGGAAAAAATGAAACATTTAACATTATTCGATCAAATTATTAATTATTTTAGGAGGCCAAAGCAGAATTTACATTTGCATTTGATAGTATGGACAAAAATGTTATATGCTGTTACACTACTGGTTGTTTTACAGAGACAGAATTTTTAAAAGCAATGGACAGATGTAAACAAGCTAGCCAATATGTATTTGATTTCTATAGAAATCTTGTAAAAAAGTATGCAAATGTGATATAACACGTAATTTTGTGGAATCTAATGTTCTAAGTCATTTTTTCTGAGGTGAATGATCCCGATAAAAAATAAGTTTTCCATTATAATAACGAATAACTTATTTTGGTTTTTTCGATTTATTTCTTTTTATTATTGTTTTCTGTTTCATCTACAATAGTAATATATAATTATCTAGTTAAACTCCCATATGATTTCAAATCATGAAAGATGTATTTCAAATATCAAGTTCTCAACTATAACCGATTGGTGATTGGCACTAATTAACATGTGTCAAACATAACAAATTATATATTAAACTTTTATTTTTACGTTTTTTTCTTTATAACTACAGTATCGCGTATGTACGTGCTTCTTATTTTCTAATGTCCGTGATTTATTTAAAAATGTCTGCCGTTTTTATTTCAAGCAAATAATAGAGGGCGTAATAAAACTTCGTCAGTATTTCAGAACACGTTATACAAATACGAAATCCTGCAAGACACAAAATTTATTCTGTTCTTCATTCGTAATTCTGTATCGTATTCGTAATAAAGTATTCGTTGAATTTTCGTTTCTGGCGCATTCACGGCATTGTGCCTGTGTTTCTGATGCATTCACTACTTGATCAATTTCGGTCATTTTACTGATGTAGTTCCCCAACTCACCGTTGTTTAAATTACAAACGAGTTGTGTGTCGGTATTTCAGGTCACGAGCTACGAAATCTGGTAAAATGCTTGGTGTATTCATGTACCTCGTCTGTACTTCTGTTTAAAGCTAATCGTTTTAGCTGCAGATGGCTCCACCAATTTCTCTGCAAGGTGCTGCGCTCTATCGGAAACTTTAGTCACTAATTTGTGTTCGCGTTTGTTGGTCGTCGCGTTCAAATAAAATTTCGTTTTCGCGTCATTTTCGTGTTATAAATCACAGTTTAATCCCTACTACACGTAAGTTACACTATGTAATCAGAATAATTATTTACTGTTGTCATTTCCCGCAATAGAATTCTTTATTACAATAATATTTCTCTTTATATTCAGATCACCATTAGAATCAACTGAGAGACATTTGTAACCGCCATATTTCAAGTTCAAACGGCCGATTCCCGAGGATATGGGTTCGTTACAATCAGTTTATTATTTAATTACGTAGCAATTACACGCCTGTATGATCTTTTTTACGACGCGAACGCGTGCAGTTGCATTAATGCGGTCGAAGTTATGTTATCGTCCCCTTAGATATTCTCGTGGAATATTTCCCTGTACAAGCATAAATATCGAGGAGCAAATTGAAGTCAACAGGTGGCTTCTCCGTCGCCGTAGCGATATAACTTTGAGTTTCGCGGTCATTTATCATCGCACTCCATTAACTTACGCCATAACAATCGGCGTTTCTTCGACGCAATTACAGTAAACTTTCGTCCAGCTTCAGCAAACTGTGCACA